TTTTTCTAGACTATCATCTACATCCATGGCAAATTTCATCGAGATCCGATGTGCCGTTACGGAGATGTACATTCGAACAAACATCCATCCATCCATACATTTGCATTTATAATATTAGTAAAGTAAAATATTTTTGTGAGGCAAAACAAGAAAACTTCTAAAGGCAGACCAGGCTATGGATCAATCGATGAAAAACCTTATTTCGAATGTTTTAATTTTTTTAATTTCCTTGAACATTTTATTATTTTTATCTACTCCATTACAATCAATTACCATGGTAACTATTTAATTTATAACAACGTGAATAATATAAAATTAAATTAATACTGAATAATTACTCATGTTATATCCAACTGTTTCTTGTTTTATGTAACATGGTGTTTGTGACATGAAATTAGTTGCGTACATTGACTATTAAGGGACAAGACTTGGCATGTATGTTGTTACTGCCGTGTAATTCGTATTGACACATATAATCAGAACTCTCATTATTAAAAAAAGATAACTATATGTTTGAACAGAAATGTTACGGCAGTCAAAACCCACAATATATGCACAGTGTTTTGTCATATTACGTCAAAGCGCGGTAGCTCTTTGCCTAGTCCGTTTATACATATTGAAGGGATACGGAATACATTTTAATACCACAGTTGTTTCTAATAAGTATCATTACTAATATCGTATGTCGTAAACTGAAAACGCAAATTGCGTATGTGGATATGTGTCTTATAAATTTATGTAATAAGTAAACCTTTGTTGTTTTACTGTTGGTTTCTGAGACCAAAATCTCCATTTAAAACATACTCTTATCTCTATTTTAGCAACGACAATGACAGTGATGTCGATATACATTATACTAGCTGTCGCCCGCGACTTCGTGCGCGTGGTTTTTAAAAAAACATAAGTATGTGTGTCTATGTGTTCTACCAGACTATGTTCTATATGTATACCAAATTTCATCGAGATTCGACCAGTCATTCTGGAGATATCTTCAAACTAACATCCATACATCTAAACATTGGCATTTATAATATTAGAATGAAGTATGATTTTATTCTCAGAACCCAACGGTTAGTATAATCACTATTAAATCATTATATTATTATGCAATAAAGATTATTAAAAAAAAATAATGTGCGAGGACTGAAAAAAAATTGTAAAATTTAATGACATAGATGAAAAGTGTTGCCATAACAATGGCGACTGTGGCGCCCTCATGACCGGCATGTTATTATCAGTTAGGCTTTAAATATCATCAATATTGTAGGTAATACAGGCCGGTTATTAAAACTTCCGTGACATTGATAAAGCTGTAAAGTGGCACGTTATTTGTCATCAAATATTAATAGCAACAGAATGCTTGATTAAAATTTCTGCGTTATAATGAGTCGCCATTTAAAATAAATACTTTGTTTAATTTTGCACCAACGAATAAAAAATTATTAAGATTAATTACAGTATATTTAAAGTTGAATTAATTTACACCTGTATATTTAAATTATGTTTAGAGATATCTAAACGTTATTTTTCTTTTTCTGCTATTTTTGTACATACTGGTATTAAATACTTATTTGAATTAATAATATCCAAAACGAATAAAAAGTTAATCCAATGATAAATGTCAACAAAGCTTATATAAAAAATATCGTTAAATTGTAGCCACTAAAAAAATCTTTCAGTTGCTTTGTTCGGAACTTAGAGTTAAAACAAATCTCTTGGAATTTCCTCAGCTATTGCGAAACTACTAAATTGAGTTTCAAACTGGAGCTAACACTTACCTGACTCATTTTTCTTTCAAGGAGAAAATCTTTGCACCGACATGAATAACGAAATAAATTTTATTATTGCAATTGTGGACTTTGCTAGGAACGAAACAATTTGTTCAATTTTACAGTTTTCGATAAAGATTTGCAAGTAGCGGACAGGATATATAAAATTCTAAAAAAAAAAAATATTGAGAAAACGAGATTAAATCTCACTCACCATAACTTTTTTCATCATTTTTTTTCGAGTATATAACAAGGAAGAATAACATCAATGTTCTATGTTGTTTAAATTAAAAAAAAATCTTTGTTTCAATTACTAGACAATAGATGGCGCTATTTCTACTAGGGACTAAAGGATTTTTGTGTTTTTCGTTTTAATTACGGTTAGGTCATTATTTTGTCAAATCGTCAAATGTTCGTTCACATCTGTAGTCTCCTGTAAAGTCGTAAATTATCTTTGTAAATGTATTTATGATTATTAATTATTTATTGCACACCTGCCATCGAAAATATATAAATTTGAAAACGCCCTATCACGAATACTGTATCAATCGTCTCCGTTTCGTCATCGTTAATTATGTCGAAATTAGTAAGAGATTTTTGATTTACTTTATGCACGAGGCGTTGCATAAATTTTAATACTTTTTTTTCCTTGACGATACGTTGGCGATTGTCACAGATATTCGTAATAGGTCCTCTGTTCATCGCTAATACCAAATTGTTAGTCATATCACATAATTATATCTTCAGTGAATCTTGACATTTAATTAATTGGTCTAAACGGATAATGAATACAGATTTTAATCAAAACACGTCACAATATTGTACATTATTTCTGTCACGTAAATAAAATGTTACTTTAAAATGCGAAAGAAATGAACTGACTTATTTTATTTATCAGAAAACTATTGCATTCCACTTACAAGATGTAGGACGCAAAGAATTCTTGACCTCTTTAATTTTTTTATACTCTGTTGCGTTCGTTTATCTCCTGGTATTTCATATTATGGAATATATCACTACATCTTATTGCAGATAAGATTATTAAATTCTGTACCAACTATAGATTAATCCACCAAGCATTTAAAGACTCCAAAATCGACCATGTCTTGCTAATTGAAACATATATTATCTGTAATGTGCCCAATTAATTATGACATTGGCATTAGATGTATTAACAATTTCTTATTTAAAAGGATTTAACAAATTAGCAAAGATGACGAAAGATAATGCGGTGAGCTATTTAGCATTTATTGGCAACTTTTTTATATTGTCTTTTTCTGCATAATAAATCTTACTAATAACTTATAAATGCGTATGTTCGGATGGATGGATGTTTTTTTAAGGTATCTCCGACACGGCTTAACGACTCTTGATGTAATTTAGCATAAATGTAGAACATAGTCTGGAAGAAAACGTAGGCTACTAGTTATATTTTTTTTAATTTCGTCGCTGACGACAGCTAGTGAAGGTATAAATAAAAATCTGAACGGATATTTAAATTACTTTCTTCTTAGGGCTTGTTCCTGTTTATATGTTCACACTGACCGCCAGGGTGTGCGCGACTCATACGTACATGTTGGTAAAAGTTGACAAATCAAAGATGGCCGATCGTATTAAAAACTTTCTATTGTTTTGATGTATGGTCGAACTCGATGAACTTAAAGCTCAATTTTTTCCAAAACTCGGCAGTTACACAACATATTTGGTATTTATTTATTTTTTTTTGACTCATAAAATTACGTTAGTACTTGAGTCAAAATTCTAGATTTTTTTTTAATTTCTATTTATAACATCATAAATCATATCAAATGTTAAACATAATTAACGTAAATAATGTCGTGTAACGTAGCGTCATATCGCCCATAAAAAAAAACATGTGCGGGACCGTCGTAGATTTTGTTATTTATAAAGGTTTGATCGCACAAAGGTACAAAGACAATTCCATGGTAATCTTCCAAAAATGCAACTCAGTTAATTATGGACGAAAATTCTCAATAACCTCTGTTAATTGTTAACTCAGCCTTTCCTGTTCCTGGCTATTGTTTGGCTCTTTTAATTACCCCCTATACGCATTCCTCGTTTCGATCAAAAGCATCAAAATGTATACAAAGGAATGTCAAATTCCATACATTCCGATATTTAAGTTTTCCAGTAATTTTGTAAAAAATATTTGATCAAGTGAATTTATAATGGAATAAAAAAGTAGTCAAATTATGGTATGTATAAATTTTGGCACAATGTGTAGTTTATCCATAGATTGGAACGTGAGTGTCAATCATTAATATTTAAGGTAATGGCCCTTCGATATGTTTTAATCGATAAAAAGGTTAGTTTCCTAAATATTTATTGTTATGTCTACCAGAAAGTATAATGTCAAATTTAACAGGTCAGCCTTCTAATTTTGACACCAGTCTAAACTAGGAAGGTGACCAGAGGGATGGGGGGATCCAGCGCCTGAGGCTGAATGTAGGCCAACCCTCATAGTGGAAGCTGCTTCGACAGCTGACGCAGGCGAGGTCGCGAACGAAAGCGCAAGCGTGACCGTGGCCTCGCCATGATGCGTAGGAGGAACGGAGGGGTTTAGTGGGTGTGCTTCCCATCCGGAAGAGAATCCCACATAACTACCGCGTCAACCCCGGAGCGCGGAATATGTATTAACCCACGACCGTCAGACCACAAATAAGTGAACTGTAAACTAGCTTAAGAGAAACCACCTTAGAAGACAGAGCTCCAAGTAATTATATAGTTTTTAACAATAAAGATTTTTTTTTATCTATTAAAATCACAGTTGAATATATTTTTATACGGCAGTAATACATTAACCATACATTACGACATATGTACGCTATTGATAGTGTTTCAAACTTTATCTTTTAGATTGTATAAGATATGATTATCGATAAACAACAAGATGTATTGTGGAATTCATTGATGAACATTAAAGTCGTAAAGTTACAAGTGCTACAGATTATCTATCTGATATCGGTCAGGATAAATTTGCACACGTTTTCTTAAAGTAACATCAGATAATATTTATCTAATGAGTCAATGATAAGCAAAACAATTAGCAACAAAATATAATAAAATTTAATTAGAGATAAAAAAAACATAAAGAATGTTGTAAATTTTCAATTTTCCGATGCAATATTAATTTTATGTTATCATTAATTTTATCGGTATTCTAAGATAAGATTTAATGAAGAGTTTTTACCAATATTTAGGCAGTTTGAGTCGTGCATTGATCGGAGACGGTTTATTGAGAACGTTCGCATGGTTGCAACATTGTTTGCACATCTTTTGCATATGTTGTACAAGAAAAGACTTTGGTCACTATACGACGATTCTGACAACAGCTATCGAAAATGGCTGGTGGAGATTACACTATGAACCCGGTAAGTAAATTATAAATAAGTAAAAAAATTATAAAATGCACATTTTTTATTTTTAAAATGTACATTAATTCTAGTTACATTTAATTAGAAATATGTAACAATTTAAATGTATGTTTTATATAAAGAAAATTTATCATGCAATATAGTATGAGGTAGCAGCGTAGTTCTTTTATCAAATTCATTAATGATTAAAGGATTAGATATGTCTTTTAAATGTTCATGCAACTGAATTGATGAATCGTACCTTTAAATTATTTCTCCTTTTTTTCACTTAATAATCTGGTAATTGTTTAATTTGTCTTTTTAAAAAGTTTATTTAAAAACAGATGGGTAAAGATTCAATTTCCATTGAAATATAATTTATATCTAATTATTATTTAATAACTAGCTTTCGCCCACGACATCGTCCGCGGAGAATTAGAAAACCAACTTAGTAGCCTATGTTCTACATATATACCAAATTTAATTAAGATCCGTTGAGCCGTTCTGGAGATACCTTCAAACAAACATCTATCCATCCATCCAAATATTCGTTTTTATAATATTAAGTAAGATATAAAGCGAATCTCTAATTATCGTCTGTGTCAAATTGACTATTAGTTTTCCTATAAATAAATATAAATTAAATCAAGAAAGTGGTAGACACTTTCTCTGTCATGAAGAAAATATCTGTTGCATGTTGTCTTCTATAAGTGAATTTTACTTATAAATAACGCAGTGTTGTAAATCAGGTATCAATTGATTTATTTGAATTCTAATTCGGATCAGTTCAAGCTAGTTTATTCTATTTTATTCTAGAGCGAAGCTAATGGTAAGGTACCAGCTCAGGTGAACACATCAACGGGTACTCCGGAGAAAGCAGCGTGGGGTCGTCCGCTCGAATTTATCCTAGCGTGTTTAGGATACGCAGTCGGTTTGGGAAATGTGTGGCGTTTCCCTTATCTTGCATATAGAAATGGCGGAGGTGAGCAAAATATTGTCATCATTTTTAAACGTATTAGCTTGTAATTATGTTAGTATTAAGATATTCAAATACTGTATTGTCAAAGAATAAATCCCAAAGTATGTTTAATAAATTGACGAAATGCTAATATGCCTGTTGTGTAGCGTTGTTACCAAAAGTCTAAATTTCTTGATCGATTTTTTTTACACCCTGTTAATAACCAAACTTTACTTGTTATATTATTTGATGAGTGGGTCTTTGTTTGACGCGTTTATCGAATATTCTTTTTTGATAGCGTCATATTTATAGATATAAACAGATTTGAACGTGAACCTTTTTTTGTAATTTTTTTCTACATTAAATGATTGGTTTTAGGTGCATTCTTGATACCATTCTTTTTGATGATGATGCTGATTGGCCTACCATTATTTTTCTTGGAATTATACATTGGACAATATACAAGTTTGGGGCCATTGAAGGCGTTTGAAGCAATCGCGCCATTCTTTAGTGGGCTTGGATATTGCACCTTGGTGGTGATCAGTCTTATTAGTGTTTACTATATGATTATTGTAGCTTGGACGCTATTCTACACGATTGTCTCGATAGCTGGCAATCTAGATTGGGGATCGTGTGAGAATGAATTCAACACGGATTGTAAGTTCATTCAATTCCTTCTATTTGCATGCTCATCGTTTATATTTGCTTATTTGACCCACCTTTTTATATACAGTGGACGTAAGAAATTAAATTACATACACGTTTGTGAAAAACAAGTTCGGATCTCAGTCGCTATAACTTTTTTTACATTTATAAATACTAAAATATAACAGTGCAGTTTATTTTGGGTGAAAATAAAAATTACATATTCTTGTTTTAAAATGCAACCAAAAGATGGCGTTGTTTTTAAAAATAAGTTTAAGTCATTATTAAAAAGTTTATTTTTTAGTTTGTTACAGTGGTTTTTACGATGCTCAATGCAGGATTAACAATACAGGACAATCAACAGATCTTACTTATTATTTAAGGCGTTGTATAAGTATTGGAGAGATTTGTATGAGTACAGGTTACGAGCCTTATGATGGTAGATATTGTTTAAATGGCACAGAAACAATACCTTGGTATAGTAATGTGAGAAGAACTATTGCAGCTGAGGAATATTATACGTGAGTTTCTTTTTGTTATTCTTTATTAGACTAGCTGTCGACCTAAATACCGCCCGCGCGGTATTAAAAAGACTTTAGTAAATAGTCTATGTGTTCTTGCAGATTAATTCTACATCTATGTACCAAATTTAGTTCTGGATATACTTTATAAAAAGCATCCCTCCATCCATAGATACATCCAAACTTTCGTAATTTGTGAAGTCTGTTTGATCAACTGCCAAAATGTATTAGTCGTCACCGGCGACTCCGTCTGCGCGAAAAAAAAAATAGTAGCCTATGTGTTCTTCCAGACAATGTTCTATATTTATGCCAAATTTCATCGAGATCTATTCAGCCGTTCTGGAGATACCTTCACACAAACATCTATCCGTCTATTTGAAAATTCGCATTTATAATACTAGTAAGAAGTAAGATAGTTGAAATCGATCCAAAAATTATTATAATAATTTTTATTTAACTTATGTTTTTTTATTGCTATTGTGTTCTTTAGATCGTTTGAATTTGAAGGAAAATTATTAATAAATGTTCATTATAAAGATTTTGGATAATCAAAAATCGGGATTAATTTATTATAATCATAAAATGTTATCATTATCCAATATTGAATGTGACTTGTGACTTATGGGTGCTTAAATCATGCATGGCGTGAAAGTAGCCTATACTATACAGCGTGATTTTTTCCGCGTAATGTATTTAAAATATTAGTAAGAAGTAAGATTAGATATAACGCCCTTCCAAATACTAATATTTAATCTAATTGTTTAAAATATATCGCTACATTTGGCCGATAAAGTTGTAAATCTCAACTTATGTATCTATCGTCGTAAAATATAGATAAAAAATATTTTTAGTTTTTTTTTTTAATAACGTATAACATTTTTTTATATTGTAAAGAGTTATAAATATTAATTTATAGAGATAGGAAGCTATTATCATATCATCTATACAATATTTAGAATATTGTAATAAAACGCGTTTAACACGACTCAGCTTAGGTGGGTGATATAAAATATAAATACGTAAAAACTTTACACATGACAATCGCAAAGTTTTTAATCTATATTATATATATATATATATATATATAGCACGACTTTCTTTTATATATATAAAAGAAAGTCGTGTTAGTTACACTATTTATAACTCTTTGAAAATTGGTGAGGTTCTTCATTTATAACTGGTTGAAAATTGGTGAGGAGGTAGCTTAGAGCCAGGAGACGGACATGGGATACTATTCATTCTTTTTTTTTTAATTTATGCCTTGAAGAGCTGCCTTTTATTTCACTTATATATATTAAGTTTTTTTTATATATCCACGCGGATGGAGTCGCGGGCGACACCTAGTTAGGAATATATGTTTTTGAGGTTGGAGTGAGGTATGAGTTTTATAAAAAGTTTTAATTTTGTTATTTATTATTTATATTATTGTCTTATTTTCTTCATTAACAAATTGTTTAAACTTTTGTGAAACAATAAATTAATTGGGAACAGCTAAGTCACCCATGATCGTCCGGCGAGTGTTTATTTGGGGTTCTTCGCGGTTGCGTCTCGTCTGAGTCGTCGCCTTCGCCAGGCTATCATACGTTAGTTAAGCCGTTACTAATTAATTTACATTCATAGTTTTACTGAACAGAAATTTTGTTTCCAGACAGCGTGTGTTAGGCCGTGGCGATGCTACTTGGGAAAACTGGGGAACGATTCAGTGGCATCTTGTCGGGTGTCTTGCACTCGCCTGGTTTGTCGCGTTCCTCTGTGTTATTAAAGTAAGTAGAATATTTTAAAACATAAACCCATTTATATTCTCTCAATCATCTCCAATCAAACTCTCGAGGATAGCAAGGTTCAAGAGATCATCATCATCAATCAGAAATTGGAATTTTATTTTAAAGTTAAATTTATTGTCTAAAGCATTGTATTTTTTTTTTCAATTTAATTTTTTTTAACTATACTTTTTTAAAAATTCCATGTTACAATTGGTTTTGGTAAAAAATAATATTACCGAGAAGTAAATACTGATGATATTGTTTTTACACAGGGTGTACAGTCAGCAGGTAAAGTGGTTTACTTCACGGCGTTGTTCCCTTACGTAATGTTAACAGCACTCCTTATTAGAGGAGTGACATTGGAAGGAGCGAGAGATGGCATTGTGTTCTATTTGACACCAGATTGGAGCACTCTTTTAGACGCAAGAGTGTGGGGAGATGCTGCTTCACAGGTAATTAACAAATTCGAATATATACTTTTTGTGCCAATTAGCTAAATAGAAATAATATTTGGCAAAGATTTCAGTCAAACGTAATCTTTAAAAAATAAAATTATTATCAGTGCCTTTTTTTCTTGAAGTTTTAAATTAAGTTTGCTTTTTCAATTTAGTTCGTTGATCATTTAATTACAAGTAATGTATATAACTTCAAAACTTTCGTGATAAGAATAAATCTTTTGATGAGATGAATTTAGAATAGATGAACTTAATTTTGGTAATGGTTTTCGTAAAACAACTTATATAGATTTTGTACAAATTAATCTTCTTTAGTTTTAATCACTTTTAGATAGTCAAATATTATCTTAAATTGAGCAATTATTAGAACAACTCTTTACTTTCCAAACAGTTTTAAATTAATTTTTTACGCTGTGAGATTAGATTACTTTTTTTGTACCGAGGTAATCTTCAAAAGATACCCTGCTAAAGACAAGGTTTTGTAACTTGAATAAAACACCCTGGACTTCTGTATGACCTTGGGGAATTACCTCTGGTGCCTCTCGCATGACTACGGCAACTCAGGATCAAACCTTGTTGCTCGTCGTTTAGGAATTAGAGGGGTTAACCCCTCTGAGGGGTTAGGCAAAGTGCATTCGCTTCGAAGCGATTTCATATCGAACTTCAAAAGTGTATGGAACTGACGCGCGACAATCACGTGACTTATCGAAAGTTATCGTCAGTTCTAATCGTCTATCCTAATCGTCCATAATACAACCCTAACATTAGTAGATACATAACTTGTTGTCTCCACTTTTTCAAAGATACATGATCATGTCTACAGTGAAAGCTCACCTTTATAAACTTTTTCTTATCTACAGATCTTCTATTCTTTTGGTGTGGCGTGTGGATCTCTAATCACCTTGGCATCATACAATGGCTTTTATAATAATTGTCATTTCGACACGATCTTCGTTTGTTTCGCAAATTTCTTGACTTCTGTGTACGCGGGTTTTGCTATATTTTCTGTACTCGGATTTCAAGCTGAATTAATGGGAGTTCAAATAGATGGTAAGTATATTTTTGAACACCATACTTTTACTTTGAGTTCATGCAAAGGAAAGAAATAATTAGATTCTAACATCCGTTTATTATTTCTTAGAGCCATAATATCATTTTTGTCATATTTGGTACTAAATATATGTATTAGATTTTGCGGTTATTCTTTATTGCCCTAACACCTTTATCAAAACAAATTTTCATCTTTGTTGTACTGTAAGAAAAACGGTGATAAAATTTATTCCTATCCAGGTGTTACAATAGTTAAAACAAACGGTCATATAACTTATGTTTTATTTTGGCAAATGTTTTCCTTTCGTAAGCTTTCGATACGTATGTTTCATTCGGGTAAACGTTACAGAACCGCACGGCGTTGATTTGATCAAGTTAATTAATCCAAGTAAATTGCATACAACCGTGGGCCAAAGCAAACATGTTGCGAATATCTGTTGAACTGAATAGAGCGTGTTTCTTTTTCCTATTTTTTATTTTATTATATTGTTGGCACTACTTACTCTTCTGTTAACGTAGCACTCCATTACAGTGATATGTGTAATACATATTGTCGTCTCTTTTATGTTCTTTGACAAAATTGAGACAACATTGTTTATTAATATAAAAATAATAATTTATACAAAAAGGTGACAGACGAGCAAACGGCCACAGTATTGTCTTGTATACGGGCACGGAGCTTCTTTTGAACGCTTTTTATTAAACCTGCATATTATTTTTAGCAAGATAAATTAACATATCTCTTTTTATTTTTTCTAATGCCTTTGCCATATTCTATGAGTAAAAATTAAACACAAATTTTAAACTATGATAGATATTCATTTACTCTAAATAACTGTAAATCGAAACATCCTGTATACGTAGATGAACGTATTGTTTTGTACACAATCGTCGATTGATCCGCGAACGCAGTATCCTTTGTTGATTTCATTCCGGAGCAACATAACTGTTTTGAATTTGAGGCAAGAGATAATGGATTGGATTAACAGTACACAAAAGCAGGATTTATTGATACAAACGGAAGAAATTGTTAGTATTCAAAAATATAGAAAACACATTTTTTACTTTACGAACTTTAACGACGTTCCATTAATTTCCTAACCTGGTTTTATTTTAAACAACTAGCAACAGTTATAAATATTTTTCCTGTTAAATAACTGTTTACTTCATATAATTCCCGGGAACCTGTTACATATATCAATAAAGTTTATCTAGTTATTGGTCACTACGCACATGATACTGCTATTGACGAACTTGGCTTTAATACCTAACGTTGTCATAATACAGAGATATCGTCTGATAAAATACAATATTGACGGTGCCCTTAATCTCTACATGTACTATTAATAAGAACAACATATAATTTTTGGCTTGTTTCTTTCACACGGGTACTTATGAGGAATCTGTTCACCAAGTTTTCGAGCTCCGATTTCTATTATCATTTTAATCTCCTTTACCTCCTTATTCGTGTTACCTTTAACACGATTAACCTTTTTTTGTTGATGGCCGGTGGTTAATTATCCGTGAAATTATGAAATTCTTTATGTATCCAAAGGTGTTTCTCAAAAAATATAAATTTATTTTCTATCATAACAAATTCAAACAAATTTTCTTCTTTCCTTCAGATGTAGCAGAGCAAGGACCGGGCCTAGCATTTGTCGCGTACCCGGAAGCGTTACTACAAATGCCCATACCGCAGTTTTGGTCTATATTATTCTTCCTCATGCTGTTCATACTTGGCCTCGGCAGTCAGTTCGCCGGTATAGAGGCTATCAACACTGCGATTGTGGATCAGTGGCCACAGTTCAGAAAGCGATATTGGATGGTAAGTTGTTTATCATACTATTTGTCAATTTGTTGAGTTACCAAGGATTGGAATAAACAGTAACGGTTGCAACTCTTGTAGCGCCCTGGGCGTGATTTATACGGTGCAGATTTTTAACTTCTCTCGGCTTTAATAGGGTTAAGAGATACTTTGTAATTCGCAGACTTGTCGCGCTCTTTCTGTTCAATGCCCTGAGCTTTCGCCTTACCCTAAGCCCGGCCCTGATTATAATCACTAGACTGTCAGTGTATACGCGTATTGCACGAGTGGTAGTCATAGTAAAACTTACTTCACACGTATAGTTTGAACAAGATCTCCCACGTTTCCAAAAAGAGTAGCTTATGAAAAAGATATAAATCGATTTATGATTGCCACTAAGCTAATAACGATAGTAGATAAGGCTATCTGTAACAAATGTGACAGAGTGCTTTTTCATGTTAACATGTAATACTAATGCACCCATGTTATCAATATATTGTGATTTAAATCCACGACCTGTGAAAGTTAAACGCTACAATGACACATTGCAAGTATGACATCATCACTGCAACTTGGCGCAAATTACCTCTTTTGGATTTAAACCTTTTATTGTATAATATTTTCTTTTTTTATAACATAAGGTGGCAAACGAGCGATCGGCCACTGCCACTGAAATAGTGAAGTCACCGTTGCCCATAGACAAACGCAATTGCATAAGCGTTGCCTACCTTTAATCAACGGAGGAGAAAGAAAAGATCTTCCCTTCCCATGCATCCTCTCATCCGGAAAGTCCACTTCCACTTCCCATCCTTTCCTTATAAGAAAAAGGCTGGGAAGGGAAAGAGGACTAAATTAGGCCTCCGGGACGCACACTCATCAGACGAAACGCGGAATTGCTTCCACTTCACGCCTGTCTTCTGCGTGGTTGTGGTATTTCACCGGGCGAGCCGGGTCAATTCGTGCGAAGATGTTATAGCGGGCTCTACCACTGTTAAATGCACAATGCATTACTTCCAGACAAACAATGTCAAATTTCAGCAATATCCATGCTGCCGTTCCAGAAGGAAATACCTTCAAACAAACATCCATCCATTCATCTAAACATTCACATGTAACATTAGTAAGATGAGTAATGTTATCACTAAAAGTAATTATCTTACGAGTATAGCTTATATAAATCTCTAAAAGCTTGTATTGTTTTAAGGTGACAGCAACCACGTGCTTTTGTTGCTTCATCCTCGGCATCCCGATGTGCTTCAGCGGCGGTGTCTATCTGTTTACATTGCTAGAATGGAACACCGCGTCATGGGCCATCCTGCTCATTGGTTTAGCTGAGGTACGGTGAACTAGTAAGAGATAGCAAAGCTCCCAACAACATGCTTTAAATATACCAAATACAAAAGAGACATGAAGTATACGGGATGTATATTTATTGACGGATCGGACGGCCCACAAAGATTTTGATCCGTCGCTTAAGATACATCCCGTATATTGCATGTGGTACAGTTTGCTCCTATTATCATATTGAAATTATGACAAAAGAATACGATGTTTGTATGTTTCTCTTCCTGTACTGCTGTATTATGTCCGTAACTTATTAAATTGTTACTTACGGGTATTTATTTTTAAATATCAGGTTAACTGCTTGGTCATTAGCCACTATCCAAAAGAAAAACACCAATACGTTGAATTATTCTTTTAATTTAAATAATTAATAATATTGGAAAATAATATTAAGGTTAGGTAATAATATTAAAAGTCATGAGTAATACTAGTATTAGTGAGAAATGTTTAAGTAAAAACTATGCTTTGTTTTAGAGCGCGGCGGTAGCGTGGAGTTACGGCATCAATCGAGCGATGAATGATTTAGCGGCAATGAACATGAAACTTAACGCAGTTCTCAGATTCTATTGGAAAGCCACCTGGGCCGTCGTTTTGCCAGCAGCTAGTGTTGTAAGTTTATATTATTTAATACTAAATTAAATATAAACATCAAGGGCCTTATTCTTGAATATTACATAATAATTTCTCTGTAAACGAAATTAATTATTAATTAATATTTTATTCCTCTGGTATTGCTGATGTCCATGGGCGTCGTTGAACACCTCGGTGTTCCCGCTGCTCGTTTGCCCCCTTCTGTTATAAAAAAAAATATGCAATATTTTAGAATGTATGTTCGAATCGTTCGACGTTTTTACAAAAATTTCTAAGAAATTCAAAGATATGTGAGACGTCAACACACACTGGGCCATTGTGGTTGACTCTGGGCTATGTAGCATTTGGTCCGTTATAATTTGCTCGTTCAAGTACAGACAGGTACTACCGGTCCAAAGGTCTGACATCGACTAAAGCCCCCTGACGGGCAGGTTACAGGCTCCTTATTGAGGACATGTAAAATGTGTATTAAAGTTAATATAATTTGAATTATATTTATATTTTTCAGGCGGTGGTAGCCTTTATATTCTCTGATTGGACGGCGCCGAGCTACGCGGATTACGTGTTTCCATTGTTTGCCGATACCCTCGGTTGGCTCACTGCTATATCGACGATAATATTGTTCCCTGTTGGTGTGGGATGGGCACTATATAAAGGATATGTAAGTTATTCATTTTTTATTTCTTTAATTTTTATATACTTTTAGACGTTATTAATTAGAATCCTTTGGCGCGAATGGCGCCCTTTCATTGCAAAGTCAAGTGTTAGAATGATTAGTGAGGTGTCGACATTTTAGTAAGGCTGGTGTTGCGCCAGTACACCGGCACAGTGTCGGATTTTCTTCCTAACAATAAGTAGAAAAAATTTAATCGGTAGTTATTCATACTTCTGCTGTTTAATCGGATTTAAGAATTCTAATAGACTGACCGTTGGTTTCTAAGTCCAAAATGTCCGTTTTAAATATATTGTTATCTCTTTTTCGTTAAAGATAATGACAGGGAATCCAACAGTGAATAATTTTAACAAAACCGATTCCATCATAGTTGTAATTTTTTTAATTCCAAGTTATATGATACAGCATATATTTATGGTTAATCTACCGTGAAATTAATAAAGTATGATTTTATTTAATCCGTATTAGTCTGAAGTATGTGATAGTAATTAATTATCTACATATTTGTAATCATAGGTATTTTAAGCCGGGACTTATATCTAGTAGGCGTGGCATATTGTTTCGTAGCATTTTTATTACCTGAATGACAAGAGTGTAATATTTTTCGTGTGTATTTATGTTTGTACTTACGGTAATTTCATTGTGACGGCCTAGAGCTTAAACGAATGAACATATTTTGTCGAGCGAGGTGTCATTCAATTCGTCTTCTTTCCTAGTGTCAAAGAAGTACAAAACACATACAGTGGAAGTAAAAACCACCAGTTTAAATCTCACTTGCCATAACTGTTTTACGTTGCTTCATTATTTTTTCAATGTATTCGAGTATGGGAAAGTGTTACATGTAACATTACATTTTGTATAGAAAATTTAAAAAAATCTTTGTTTTAAAATGCAGTCAATAGATGGCGCTATTTCATCCATTAGTGTCAGTTATGTTTTTCGAATTTGTTTGATTTGTTTTTTTTTATTAAGTAACCATAAAGGTTATATAGGTATTTTTATTTTGTAAGAATTTTGAAATAACATAAATGAAAGAACTAGGAATCATTGAAGTGTATTAACTGTAGTTTTTGTTACAGAGGGGCAAGGAATTATTTACGCCGACAGAAGATTGGAAGCCATCTTCAAGGGCACTTAGTAACCCTCCAAATGACATATCGAGTGACACAAATCAAACTGCTTATGACAATGTGGCATATATATAAACGATCTGTACCTATACAAATAAATGAAATTAAAGTGTTTGTAATATTAAAATAAAATATCGATATTTCATACACATGTATTTAAGTTACTTATAAAAAATAATTGTCCAGGAGATCGCGTTTATTTTATCTCTGAAATGGCATTACCAGACATTAAATTGATAATAGCTGGTGTACTCGTAAGTTACAGTCTTAATTAATTTTAGTACAGTAAGCAACACTTCGCAAAATATTGACGCGACGCTGGATCGAAAACGTCGCGACGCTGGATCGAAAACGTCTCTCGCGCAGGTTCGGCTGGCTGACCGCGGGACCGGTCATCCGACATAAAGAACAATATTCTTATAGATTTTGAGATTAAAAATATTTTAATACCACGCGTACGTCGTCCATTTTAACGCCACCTTAACTATCATTAACTTAATTGGTACTAAATTTTGTGTGATGCGAAATCAAAGTGTGAATATTATAGGGTGTTTTTATTATTGAATTTTTTCACATTTTGCTATAGTATATGTTCAATATTTTACAGTATAAAACAGATAAAAATATAATAGTTAAGAATGTACGTTTGAATCACAATGCACACAAACTTATATATCTACTATATCCAATTGATCTGTTACTATGTAAATAATCGTGATTTTTATGAAAGCCATCATATAACATACTTAGTAAGAATTGTTACTATTTATTAAAAAGTAAAATAAAGTGACTAAAGTTTTGTTTGATTTTTTTTTTGTGTAAACTTTCGAAAAAATTCTTTGTATAATACAAAATGTAGTAATTTTTTTTAAACAGAATGATTGTTATAACTAGTAATTGTATATGTTTCGTCAATGGAAACTCACAGTTACGTATACCTTGTTGTCTTCGTCCTTAAGCTGTGTACGCTATATGTGATAATAGAAGCCTTCATAAATAACTCGAGCTAGGAGTCAGAAAATACCGCCAGTCATTTATCAGAGGAAAGGTCAGGCCATCGCGAGTTAATACTGAGTGACATGCGACTGGCTTCCTCAAGCTTTTGTTAGAGATATATGTACATACAGCGTGTTCCAAAATTCAACGATAAAACGGTCATGGTTTACAGTCAGATGGATAACTACACGGGGAAAAACACAAAAAAAAACTCTTTTTGTTTAAAAGTTACATAAGCTTTTTTAAATTTTGTGGCTACAAATATGATACAAAATATTTCTTTCTTATTTTTTGATTGATGAGATATTCTTGACTTAAATTTTGTCCCTTGAAAACATTAAAATAAAATATATACTTCACCAATACCAACGTTTTTATAAGCTACGGGCTGGTGCCTGCTACTATGTCCGCACAGAATTAAAAAAACACAATTAGTAAAGTATGTGTTCTTCCAGACTGTGTTTTACATGTATGACAAATTTCATCGACATCCGTACAGCCGTTCTGGAGATACCTTCTAACATAAATCCATCCATCTAAACATTCGCATTTTTTACATTAGAAAGATAGACAAAATTATCAAAATATTAATTTTTTTTTAATAATAACGTGTAACGAAAGCTTTGAAAGATTTTTTTTAACCTTTAAGTCAGTAAAATAAAAATGTGAATAGCAAAAAACCTGTAAAATATATTTTAAACTTGATATACTGAAGCAGTGTTCACGTTTTCTCGAAACACTATGACATGTCACGTTTCGTCCTTAGATTAATGACTGCGGTTATCATGAAGTCACAATTTAAACCACTCACAGACGGCAGGATAGGTCAGTAAGCACTTTAGCAAAGTACAATACAGCTGAATTATTTAAATCTTACAGATGGCACATACGGAAATTTCATGCAATACTAGATTTTACCCACGACTCCGTGTAAATTTAAAAAAGGAAATCTTGATAAAATGATCCTGTATCCGTCTCATGGCTCTAAGCTACCTCACTAATTTGCAGCCACATAGGTTCAACCATACTTGAATTAAATAAAACACACTATATAAGTAGAACACACTAAGTTAAAACGTTAACTTAAATACAGGTCAACCTTATTGTGTTTTGTGCACACATGAACATTAGTGAGTTCGATAAGGTTAAGTTTTATAAAAACGAAATATGCTTTACTTTCAAATACTAAGAAAAATACACAGAAAGCGTAGCAAATAACAGAGTGTGACAAATGTTAGCCGCGTCGCAGAACTCGCGTGCGAAGTAACGTATTGATTAGAGAACGCTGTATGTGTTAGAGTCACGAAAGCGTTTCTAGATAATTAATAATCTTACAATGAATGTTTACATTACATGTAAGAGGAGGCCTAATTTACTCCTCTTTCCCTTCCCACCCTTTTTCTTATAAGGAAAGGATGGGAAGTGGAAGTGGACTTTCCGAATGAGAGGAAGCATGGAAAGGGAAAATATTTTAAACGACAGCTAGTTTATTTATAGTAAACAACATCACAAGCTACGCACGTAATACAGAGCCGTAAGCATCGGATTTTCATTTTGACACGGTCCTGTTACATCTATCTCGTCTCTTCCACAAACATGACAACTGACAAGCATTTACGCATGCTTGACAGTTTCTGACGCTCTTTATACCTCTCTTAGTATATCACCAATTTGGTCAATATAATTTTAGCTAGAACTCATAATTTTATTATCAATAAATTATATCCCATTAGAAGTCATCAAGGATAAAATATATTAAAGATTATTTTATTTCTTTGGCAACAATTGTTGATATCTGAACTGTCAAAGTTATTAAGCCTCAATAAAAGTTTTTTAAATTGAATTTCTCAAGATGTAATCTCTGCCAAGATTGAATGATGTTATCATAATATCGCTCAAATTTAAAATGGATCAAATCGTAATAACTTAAGCCAAATTATAATTGAAGTCAAAGATTTTTATTATAGAAGTCGGGCCACGAAACGGGTGGTTAATTAAGTTTTCATTTCTTTGTGATAGATAGACATGTTACCGAACGATCGTGAATGCCGTTCGTTTGTAATTTGCCTATGAAATTTGTAAAAATTTAGCAAAAAGTATATCGAACTAATTTATTCACAACTTAAACTAAAGGGGATTTAATATTTATCTTTTTTATTGGTATTGAATAACTAGAACGTCTTGTTTTTATTATTATTTGATTAAAACAGATAATATTATAACGCCTTTAATAATATATTAGCAAAATCTTGCTCATGCCATTCATGTACGCACTTGGTGCACAAAAAACGCAGTAAAATGCGATGTAAATTAAACAATTATTATTATCAACAACCTTATAATGTTACATTAAAAACATCGAATAAATGATGAAGTAACTTTACCAATAACTCTGTGACAAAGTCGGGAAAAACAAAAAACTTAAACCGTTAAAAATAACAGTTGATACGCTTAATTTTAGATTAACGGTTATAATTCTAGTTTGTTAGCATGTTAGGAGCTAATAACAGATAAAATATTTTTATTACTTTTTCCTTTTTGTTCATTCCAATTCTTTAAATTTCTAGATTTTTTAATTTATCACAACATAGTACAGCAAAGGAAATTAAACATAATGCTTGAAGCCAATCAATCCGCACTGTACCAGTGTGGTTGACTCGGACCTAGTTAACTTTAACTTTGGTATGCTCCGAACTCCTTAATGGACCATCATTGATTTTTTTTTATATAATAAAGTATCAAATGAGCGAGCGGTCACCTGAAATCGCTGAAATAGCGAAGTGACCGTTGCCCATTGATATACGCAATTGCATATGCGTTGCCTAACTTTAATCGACGGAGGAAAGGATGCTCAGAAAGAAAATATGTTCCCTTTTCATGCATCCTCTCATCCGGAAAGTCCACTTCCCTTCCCATCCTTGCTTTATAACAAAAAGGGTGGGAAGGGAAAGAGGACTAAATTAGACCTCCGGGACGCACGCTCATCAGACCAAACACGGAATTGCTTCCACTTCACGCCTGTCTTCTGTGTGGTCGTGGTATTTCACCGGGCGAGCCGGGCCAATTTGTGCGAAGATGTTAAAGCGGGCTCTACCACTGTTAAATTAGATCAGAGCCTAAGTGATCCGACAATAAGCATAATTTTATCACAAATACGCTAAATAGAAAACGACCTTTAGGACGCTTAAGTTCGTTTTCGTTTATCAAGTTATCAAAGTTTGGGTAATTTAAATATTTTCCAGTGCCTACTGAGAACAATAAAATAAATTTTCTCGAATTTGGTAAGAAGCCAACTTGAATGTTACATAATTAATATACGACAGTAATGCCGCTTGGCACTAGCTGTTGTGCTTTTTGTTAATAGGCTTCTTAAATTTACATAATGCTATAAACTCATTTATAATTATTTTAAAATTTTATCTTACTTCTTACTTCTTACTAATATTATAAATGTGAATGTTTCGATGGATTTTTGTTGGATTGTATCTCCAGAACGGTTCAACAGATCTCGCTGAAATACATAGGCTACTAATTAAGTTTTTTATTAACTCCGAGCAGACGGAGTCGTGAGCGACAGCTATCTTACTAATATTATAAATGCGAATGTTAAGATAGATGGATGTTTGTTTGAAGGTATCTTCAAAACGGGTCAAAAGATCTCTCTGAAATTTATTTAGATATAGAATATGAACTGGAAGAACGCATAGGTTACTAAATAAGTTTTTTATTAAATCAAACGACGAAGTCGTGGGTAAAAGCTAGAGGCTCTGAGCCTTCACTAAGTTAACTGTGATTACGGCATAGTCAACCTCGCTGGCCAAGTGCGGGTTGGTTGACTTCACATATATCTTTGAATTTCTTCTCAGATATGTGCAAGTTGCATGACGATGTTTTCCTTCACCGTAAGAACGTCATATGTACATATGTAAATCAGAAATCGAAACATACATTGGTACATGGCGGGATTCGAACCCAGGAGCTGCAGATTGCAAGTCAAGTGCTTGACCACTGAGCCATCGACGCTCCGAGAATCATCTAGTAGCATTAAATTGTGATATATATTTTAAAGAATAATATCTTTGTTAACAAACCGTGTTACAAATGTGACACAATTAATTTCCATTTAATAATAAAACGAAGTGAAAATGTAAAGAGTAACAATTCACGGTTTGAATAAATAAAAATGGAATACTTATTTAGGCTTTTGTTACATTGTTCTTTTGTTGTGAGACAAAGGGAAGACAGCTGTACAAAAATCCTGGCTTATCTTTGTTAACAAGAAATATTTCTAAACGTCACAAAAAAGTATCTTCTGTTTTTCTAGAAATCTATGAAAAAATTAAAATATTATATTGACATATGTAATGTATTTTAAATGCAGTCACAAATCATGCATTTAACTTTTTATATAAATATTAAAATAAACTTTCACAACGCGATACATTTTACATATACCAACGTGACAAGTTTCAAATGAAATTAACAGTTAATTTCGCTGTAGGTAGCTTTTTATTCTATTTCAACACGCAATTGTAATCCAATTAATTTCTATGTTAAGTTTTGAAAAAAGACCTTTGCAATCAGTAGTATTCAAAAATGCTTTCGCGACAAAGTCTTTAACCTAGATCATGCAATAGATTTAGGTACAAATATCTAAGATTTTGATGGTGCGTAACCTCCATCGAGAAATGCCTTGAAGTTTTCAAACGAAAAGTTGAAGGCGCTAGGGCACGAGATAGATCCCCCAGGAGGTGGACAGACCAGGTTAGTGCGGCAGTAGACGTTCCTCGGCATGTATGTTCCAA